GAAACTCCTTGCCATTCTGGCTGAATCGGGGACGCGGACGGCCGAGGTCCCTCGTACTCGATTACTCCTGTTCTGTCCATGTGCAAACTCTTTATAAGGAACCTGAGCCACCTATAAATCATATTTGTATAGATTGTCTTGAAACAGTGACTCTCCGCCCTTCTGGACGCAGCCCAGGGCGTTGTATATTGCGCCTTCATCGGGGCAAGTTGCCCTGCGTCGATGCTCTCAAGGCTTGTGCGCCCGAATATAAAAGGGCAAAACGCTACTGGCAAACGCCCTCCTACCAAACACTTCTGCTTCCCCTCGGTACTTAGCTAGCCTAAAAAGTGCGAACAGAGGCATAGCGCTTGGCTTACCGCTATTGTCCTCAACATGCACGCAGGCAGGGGAGTATATGCACTCACACATGTGCGGAAACACCTGGGCAAGCATGCAGCGACGAACAACGTGCTGGATCGATAAATGCAGGGTCATAAAGCCGGTCAATTGAACCAGTAAAAAGGAAGAAGTACGTAAGACAATGTCAGTGCAACAGAAGCAGCCCAGGCAAGCAAGCATTCGCTGCCCATAGAAATAGAACAGGCTGAAAAGGCCTGTCAACTAGTGGCGCACGCAGCGCAAATCCGACGGGCGCAAGCAGAAGTATACAGTGCGTGTGTTGAAAGCTTTCGTTAGCCGCAGTCCTGTGGATGCAGCGGAGAGCAAACACCTGCTTAAGCTGTACACGCCAGTCAGAGTTTCTGTTCTGAAGAAAGGAAAATGTGAATAAGACACTGCGGAACGCGGCTTTGCTTGAATAGTATCAGCAGCCGCCGGGTGCCACGGAGAGGTCACTTCTTTAAAGGGCCAACAAGCCGACAGCCGCAATAGCGACGGCCAGCAGACTCGGCGCAACAGCAGAGGCAGAACCTGTGATGGATGCCTTGATCTTCTTCCACTGCTCTTCGCTGCGCGCAATTCGCCAACAGATGAATAGCACGCAAGACTGTGCTCAAATCCACAGGCCCAGCTCTGTAACCAATTATAGTTTTGCGAGAATTGATTGCCAACTTACTCGAAGGGAGCTGCCTTGTCTGTCAGTGCTTCAGGTGTGGTCATGCACAGTAGAGCATAGCCTGTCTTCCCGCCATCAGCGTTTAGGACTTGTGCTGGTGGGGTTCCGGCAGCTGCCGTTTGTGTGCAGGTAACGACCTGGCAGTCAGCAGCGGCATTCTCTT